TAGTCTTTTCTTTAAAACAACAATAAATTTTAGATGCCTAAAACAAATACTAAAAATTACTGCCAAGAGAGAATAAAAAGGTGAGTAATTTAAATATTAATAGGAATTACTAAATCTTTTTATTTAAATATTAATAGGAAAAATAATGAAATTACTAAAATCCTGATTTCTAGTCCCACCCCTGTCAGTAAGGAGCTATGACCTTGGGAACAAGGACTTCTTTGGCCTTCAGCTCCCTCATCTCAAACATGGAAGAAGGCACCTCCAAGGATTTTGAAGATCTTCTGCAGAGATAAAATCTTAAGATTCTAGGGGAGTGTAGTTTCAGGAAAAGACAGGAAAGGGGGAAAGTATGTAAGGGGAGATACACAATGAAGAGTGGGTCCTGCATCAGAGTTCTGGGGAAAAGCCCTTACTAAGTTTAATATGCCTCTTCTAGGGGCTGGTTTAAAAGTTCGGGGCAGAGAAGGGAGGCTGGCACTCTCCTCCTCACCAGGGGACCACGGGCTGGTGACCTCTAAGAAGAGCAGCAGCTTAAAGAGCACACAGGAGAGAAGGCTCTGTCACCTGTGGGCTCCTATGGTGAGCTATGTTTTATTTTCATTCTTCCTATTCTTTTTTTAAAAGAGTAACACATATGCTTGATTTTTCTTATCCTTCTTTAAAAACTGATCTCCCCACACACATTTTTTGGGGGGTAATAATTTCTATCAAAAATTATAAAAAGAGGCATAAAATTCAGAGTGTCCTTCCAAAGACTACATCAGCCGAAATAGTATATCAAAATATTTTTGGATTTGTGGATTTCTAATGCTTATTTATAATTGGAAAAAAGAGAACTGGTAGTATACAATATACATATTTCTATCCACCCATCTTTCAAAAGGAAAAGTCTTTAAAAATTATTTAACCAAATTATATTACTGCCAAGCAAGTAGGAATTTATTCCAGGAAGTATGTTGTATTAAACAACTTTAAAATCTTATCTTGGCTTTCTGCATATTCACTCCTTCTGCAAGGTAGTTAAGAACAAGCCCTGGAGATAGAGGAAGAGGTGTCACTGGCATAATCAAGGAGGAGGAGAATGGAGCCCTGGTGAAACCGCCATGGCTGTGGGGAGGAAGAGAAACCCTGGCCAGGCTCACGTGAGGACGGCTGGCAGAGTGCTGCTGGGGAAGCCAGAGGAAGGCAGCAAAGCAATGAACAAGAGGCCAACTGAGGCAGATGCTGCCAAGAGGCAAGTTGTTCTCCTATAGTGAAGGTCAGAGAAATCATTAGGGACCTTAGCAAGATGGGCAGAGTGGAGACGGAGGTGAGGGCAGCTAAGATGAGATGGGAAGTGAGGAGGAGGGCAGGTAGCAGTGTGGGACTCACTGGTTCTTGGGACACTCAGAAGAAAGGACAGGCTTGGGGCTGACCCTCCTGGTTGCAATCCCACTGCTGTTATTGATTGATTAGCTGTGTGAATTCCTATTTCCTCACCTAATCCTGGGATCAACAATAGTGCCTAACTCATATGGAGTAGTTTAAATAAAAATCTTGCTTCATTGTAATTCTTGACTTAGCTGTCTACAACAAATGAGAAGGCAAGAGATTTGTCGTCAAACAACTTTTAATTTATTTAGATTCTGAGATGATCTCTTGAAATTTATGGAAAAGTTATGTTTACATAGTTTTTCTTTTTTAATGACCCAGGGATATTTTATTCACTCCTCCTTTTTACGTCCTTACTATAAATTTCCTTATAGAACTCATAAGTAACAAAGTCAAATTTTTAGCCTTTTTCTATGTTTAACAATATAATTACTTACTTGCTTAGCTGATTTATCTTCTCATCACTAGGCAGCTTTACCTAATACATTAATGATACAGAAGGCATACTTATCTTGTAGGAAGAACCAACCCACGTTGTTTGCCCCTCAGATCCCTAATTTATTATTCTAGAGAATTATAAACTTTTTAATACATTCAAGTCTTGATTAGAACTGAAGTCAAAATCAGTGGTCTGCAGTTTGTAGAACTTTCCAAATATCTTTGCTCATTTTTATTTTGAAGCACCTCTTCTATTCACTGAAATTCTTGTTTGTATTAGTACACGTAATTTTAAATTAATTAAGCATCTTATTAGACCTGAGCAGAAACAAATTCAAGAAAATCAAAGTTATCTAAATTCAATGGAAAAAAATCAGAACCACTGGAAAGCAGCAGAACTGTTTAATATACTGTGAAACAGTTATTATCATTTCAAATTCTAAGTTACCTTTGACTGAGATAAGCCTAATAAAACAATGAATCAGGATTGGAGTAAAATTAAAATTTATGAAGAATAACAAAGAGCACGGATATTTCCCATTAGATTAGCTTTAAAAAATTAATCTTAAAACAGTTATAATAGCCATGATAGGTTTGAAGTGCTGCAAGTTTGTTTTCCTGGATTATGGTTTCACCACACTCATACACAGAAATAGGTTATTTGTACTCTGAGTCCCAACACAGTTCAGTCATTTTCCAGCGAGACAGATGAACTCACGCTTGTAGATATTAAGTAAATATTAAGCTTGTGGATTTTAGTTTGACTTGGAAGGAGAAGCATACAAAAAGCAATAATTAGAAACTGCCCCCCCACCCAAAAAAAAAAGGGAAAGAAAGATCAAAGGCACATTAAAGATCACTAAAAGGATCAGACTCATACACGGGAAACACACATACTCCAGAGGTCTACTCATCCACCAAGATGACGCCATTGATGTATTACCAGTGAGTCAGATATTTGAGTTATTTCCCCCATGTATACAAAAACAAGAAGAAAGGTCAATCGTGGATAAGTGTTCAAAAACCTGACCAATACTGAATACCAAGACCTTTTAAGAAACAAGATAAAAATATATCTGCTGTAACACTACATTGTAAATCAACTATACTTCAGTTAAAATTTAAAAAAATATATATTTGCTGACTCACAGATAAAACAATAAAAATTGTCAAAATTGTTAGTTTTAATTATATGTGTAAGTATTTTGGATTAGATATGCAAAAGTGAAATTCTTTGAAAATCAATTAGAAAAAAATTTCAAATTGTGTTTCTACAAACTGATTTAAGCTACAAAAGCAATCTGCTAATTTAGCTATGAAACAAATGTGAAGCCTTCACACAGTGGGGCAGACTATGAGAGCTGTTGGTATAACAATCGTCCATAAGACTGCTGCACACTCAGAAGTATGAAGGATTATGGAGACGAATTCAGAAGAACTGAGACAATAGGTTCATTAAATATGCAATGAATATTCTGCACACATGCTGGGATCAAATAAAAACTAAAAAATTTAGAAGATGACCATATGTTAATTATTGCAAATAATACCAAATTAGCTCTATTTATAATTAAAATTTTCTTTTAGTAATTTTTTGGCAGATACAGAAGCACAAAAAACATATTAAGGATATAAAACTTGAGCTGGTTTACCAAGTATTTAAATATTTATAAGGTGTTAATCTATCTTTTTACTTTTAATCTATATTTATTTATAATGTAAACCTTGCTAAGCTTATAACCTCTAAACAGTTTTGATTCTGGTAGTATTACAATGTCATCCACCTACATCTGCAGCACAGCTATCAGATTGTACTAACAAAACCCCAAGCATCTAGAAGGGAAAGTAGGAGTCAGGTGAGAGTAATCACCCATAACTTGCGCTCTCAAATCTTCACCAACTATCCTTGGAAGCTCCTGACTTTCAAAGTAATTGATGGCACCTACACTGTACTTCTGTGTGGCTACATGAAAGTGAAGTCAGACTGATCCGCAAGTACTTCTTACCCGTTTTTTTTTCCTTGGTTTAAGAATTACTAGCAAATACATACAAAAGGCAAGTAAATCTGATAAAAACTACAGGTCTGGAAGATTATAATTCTTAAAATCTGTGACTCTTCCTCTGTGTTCTATATCTCAGTGCAGCCAATCAATTCCTTGGTCTCATCCTCAGCTCCTCTGCCTTCTTCACCATGCACATCTGTGATCACCAGGTCCCACAGATTTACTTCTTAAGGATCTCTTTCCTCTTCCACTAGCTCAGGCCCACATGGGTCTCCACCTGACCTATTCAAGCACTCTTCACTGGTCTCTGGCAAGTCCATCCTCTACAAAGTGGCCAAAATCATCTAAGTTGCAAATCTAACCACTACTTGACTTTACCTCTTTTAATAGCTTCGCATTTTCTATAGGATAAAATTCAAATCTTTAACCTTTTCAACTCTACATCTTGCCACACAGGGAGAATTTAACTACTTTTAGTTCCCTTCGATTTTTTTTCATGGTTCCCTTCTGACCTGAAAACAGCTCTCATTTCTTCTCTCTTGCCTAAATAGCCCTCAGGCTCTGCCCAGGGATCAACCTCCTAGAAAGCCTTCCCACTCAACTCCACTGCACTCCCACAGTCCTCGGCACAGCTCCAGCATGGGGACAGCCACGCCGCAGGGTAATTCATCTGCCTATACCCACCAACCGATGGTGAGCAACTTAAGGGCAGGAGCTGAAATTTAATATGGTCGTGATTGGAATACAGGAGTTCAATAAATATTTGAGGCAGGGATAATGAATGCATGAGTGAATGAAGCTCGAGTTATGAATCAAAAATAGCATTCTGATAATATCCAGTGGTTAGATTTCACAGTCCCCAAACTGAGGGAAATTTCAGTAATTTCTATTCCATGGCTATTTCTATTCAGTAATTTCTATTCCATTCAAATTTAGAAGTCATTTTCTACCAAAATAACACTCTTGGTTTCCTGTACTATTTTTCATATTCTCCACAACAAAGGAAAAAGGAAGAAAGAAATACTACCATAGTCTAATCTTAATCCTGATAAAAGGGAAATCAAACTTCAGAAGATTTTAAGTGCTCCCCATCTGATTTAAAAAACAAGTCCTCTCTGTTGAGCCTTCTAATCCACTTAGGGGAGCTGATGAAACCTGTACAGTAAGCTACATCAGACTACACACCTTGAGTCCAAAGGCGGTATCCTCCGAGGTCAAGACTTCAACCTGAAATCATAAGGAAAAAATAATTTAGGCACTCTCAGCAACCTTCCTTGTGTCTAGCCGCAGACACCAAAGCACAGGTGTGGTCTGGAACTAAGAGTTCTGAGAAAACTGGTTTTCAATTTATGTCAGGTGTCAGGAAAGAGAGATCTGTGAGTCTCTTCAAGAGTGGGGTATAAATCCAGGTCACTGTCCCGGGTTCCAGTTTTATAACAGGGTGAGCACCTATCAAATTAATATATTTGCCATCATGTTGAAGTGGTGGTGTAAGCTCCTCAGAATGATCTAGGAAGTTAGAAGAATCATCCTTCTCACTTAAATCACAAGATGTTGCACATACTTTTTGATCTTTTACTGACAGTGAGGGAAAAGTTATGCTTCGTAAAGCAATTTCATCACGCTTGTGAAGCTGCTAGTAATTTCTTGTCCTGCTCATATCAGAGTGGGTAGTCCTGCATCTCGGGAATGCTGCAGAGCAAGGGTTCCTGAAAGCAATACTCAGGAAGAGGCGGGCAGAGTCTAAACAACAAGTTGGGAAATGATGGCAAAATTTCAAAATTGCCTGTCAGTCTTATGCATTAGAAGACACAGCTCATTAACATGAATTTAAAAGCTGTGTGGAACAAGACGTGTATTGATAATTACTGTTTTTTAAACATAATTATTCAGTCTGGTGTAGAAAGCATTTAACTTTGACTACTCCGAAGTACCACTATATGATGGAAAAGAGCAAGGAAAGAAGCAACAGAACAAATAAGAGTACTTTTTAAGTGTCTGGGGAAGACAGTGGGAGTAGGGCAATAAAATCAGACTTGCTGGCTTCACTGTTAGTTTTAAACCTTTTAAAATTAGGCCCTTGTGGTAGGCGTTTAAGCAGAAGACATAGGCCATCCAAAGTATCCTACTATAAAACAAAATTGGATTCTTCCCTTGGGGAAAGAAAAAACAGAAAGGAAGATCATTTCAATAAGATTGTCATCCAGTACAAAAGTAAAGGGGTCAAAAAAGAAATGAGGAAACAAATTGTACTCTCCAGCTGCTTTACTGAAAGCGAGGCTCACCCACCACCTGGTACCTGACAGAGTCTGGTGCACAAAGCAAGAGAAACGCATGATTAGGGACTGAGAAGATGAGCAGCTTCATTCTGATGAAAACCATATGTTTCCGAGGCCAAGTGTGATTTTAGGCTGAAGACTGAAATGTTGGATCAACTATAGCACAAAATCATCGTAAGATTCACTGACAGCATTTCTGTTTACACTTAGATTTCCAAAGCTAATTGTTAGATTCAGAAACAAGATCTTATCATAGACTTTCAGTTTGAGAAGGAAAAAAACCCCAGTTATTTTGCAACTTGCATATGTTTGAATCTCCTAAGTCCTACCCTTCACAACATTAGGTTAGTAACCTCAAATATTTTTACGTTAAATCCTGTAATCAACATTGGAGACTTTAAAGGAAAACATAAGCAACAAATTCACCAAATCTTAACTACTATAAACCCAATATGACATTTACTCTTGAATTATACACAGAGATCATATCTGCACACCTCAGTGTTGGGTACATTCACCTTTGATATGATATTTTAATATGGATACAATTACTTTAAAAATATGTTATATTTTTAAACCCACAAAAATCATCTCCAGAGTGAGTTCTGCATTTGCTTAACATATTGCAAAAAGTCAAAGTATTAAGAAAATTCAATAGCAAACAGGAATCTATTTAAACATATGGCTTTAATATATTTGACAACTTGAGATGATAGCAAACCAAAGCTTTCAAGTGGAATTTAGGAACTCTCCGTGTGGCTGTGTCAGTAGACAGAGACCAAGACAGATCTTGGGAAGTGGAGTAAGGGGATGGAGCTCAAAAGGGCAGCCTCATCCTCCACTGGAGATTTATCTCCAGGAGGGCTCCAAGTGATGTACGGAAATTCCTAAGTATTAACCAATTTAATACTTTTTAAAATATATGTTTTGTTCAAAAACACTATGGGTTAATAAGAAGTACATGTGCACTTTAGTTCAGCATCCCTTATATTTTCTGTTTCTGTAAGATTTTAAGTGCAATACTTACAGAAAAACAGCTGATTTTTAAAATGAGATTATTAACCTCAATTTAATAAAAAAGAAAGACCAATGTCATACACAGATTTTCATGTTATATCGAAGAGCATTTTTACCTAAGTTGGAAGGAATCCCCCTCTAGTGGGAGTGAGGGAGTATTTCAGCCGTCACACATAATTTTCAGGTAGTAGTCATTAAACTTAAATATCAACAGAAACAAGCTAAGCTTTTTTGTTCTTTTGTCATAAACCTGAATCTTTTAAAAA